AGAAATGAGAGAGAGAGAGAGAGAGAGAGAGAGAGAGAGAGAGAGAGAGAGAGAGAGAGAGGGGCGGAGAGGCAGACGGAGACAGAAAAAACGAAAAAATTATCATATTTATCTCGTTAGAAATAAAAAAGTTATATATACATATATACATAAAATGAATGCAATGAGCATCAAATAGTTACAATTTCATGTAGGATCAAAGGAATCAACGATGCTGAGCAATTAATGCAACGAAAATAATTCGATTATATTGATTATTCAGAATTAATATTTTTTATACTTGTTTTAAAGAACGTTTCTCTAACTTATATTTAGCCTATGCACATTTTACAGATTCCAATGAATCCGAGGAGTGTGATATTCTTTTCTTTAAGCGTTTAACCAAATATAGTCTAGACTCGGATGCATACGCAACTATTACATAGCCTGCATATGTAATGCATTTTTATATAGTTGCTAAATATTAAATACCAAAAGTAGAATATTTTATTCCCGTATGCTAATTAAACGTAAAGTAGGTCATTCCCGTAGATAGGAGGAACCAATTCCAACAATTCAGTCTCATTGCTGTCGAAAATGTATTACTCTGAAAGTATAAATAAGGTCTAACTGCAATAAATGTGCCATAATTGCACGATTACCACAATTAGAAAAAGGAAAAAAACAAGGTACTTTTAATTTATTCATTCTCCATCGTACATAGGCTACAATGGATGAGACGTTCCCACGCCCAAGGAAAGCACATCTCTGCGCACAATGCACCGGTTCTCTCCATCTCCAAATCGGACAAATACGAGTTTAAATCGTGCATGCAGCTGACAAAAGCTGCAGAATTAATCGAACCGAACTGCAATGCAATGCATTTCTAGAAGATTCTTTTAAGTGCGGATTAGTCGCCTTGGAGGGCATGGCGTGCAAGTTCAAATCTCAACCATCATGGTGTTTTTTTTTCTTTTTACCTTGGCTCCGATCTGGTTGCCGCACTGGCCGGCTTGCAGGTGCACAATCTCGCGCATGGTGCTGCAGGAAGGTCAATGGCGGGGATGCAGAATCGAGGGCTGACGCATCTGGATCGAACACCCTGTGCTGGAGACATGGAGAAAAGCTCAAACTCTTCTGTTTGGTGGATCAGGAGCCCATCTGCGTGGTGTGCCAAGCCTCAAAAATGCACAAAGGTCACGACTGCTCTCCCACGGAAGAGGCGGCTCTGGACTGTAAGGTAGAGTTTGACAGTGCCACATTGTCTCGACAAACTGTGTTACATTGTGTTGCTCTCTGTTACTGATTTAAAGCGGCAGGGCACAAGAATGCTGTTTATCAAGCTCGCTTTGTGTTCAGCCAAAAATATCATGGCAGGCTTTCAAACAACACCTTCTGCATTCCCCTCCTTCAAGCTCTCATTGTGGCATATGCGTCCTGTTGTATACTGGGAAAATGTGATCAACTCCATCCAAAATGTGACACTAATCTTTCAGAGTATACTTGCACAGTTGGATTGCACAGAGGCTTCATTTGTTCATAGTTCTTATGTGCCGGTTGTTCTCAGCTGGTGGGGTATAAGTCTTTTCTGAAGAAAACAATGTTAAATGCAGATACAGTTTATCATGCATAGTTTGGATAGAACAATAAAGAAACATATTCGCTTTTAAAAGAGAAGAGAAAAACTTCCCAAATCTTTTGTTGTTAACATGAGAAGGTGTGAATCCAATCAAACTATTTTGGTAGAAGCAGACAAATTAGCAAATGACAACATGGACAGGTTATGGTAAATGCCCTCATCCCTTAAAAACCACAAGATGATTTATCAGGTTTTTAAGATCAAGTGTTATTTTAGTATCATACTACATACTAATAATAGACATAGATAAACACTATAATAATTTTCTTTAATATTTTGGATTAGTTTTTTATTTTTATATTTTCCTTTTTCATTTTAATTTTAGCTAAAGATTTTATAACTATTTTTTTTCAACTTTTTATTCTTATCTTTTTAGGAACAAAATTAAACATATATCATACAGTATATACACTGAACAAAATTATAAACACAACACTTTTGTTTTTGCCCCCATTTTTCATGAGCTGAACTCAAAGATCTAAGACTTTTTCTATGTACACAAAAGGCCTATTTCTCTCAAATATTGTTCACAAATCTGTCGCAAACCATAAACGCTGAAGATTTAACATTGCTGCAGGTGAGAACATTGACATCTGCTGGAATAGCACCTTCTCATTCATTCACCGAGTCATTCATTTGTGTTAATCTTTTACAGAACTTCAAAGCTATCATAGATGGGTAAGTCCGCTTATGACTTTCTTTTCGTTACTTTTTGTTTTTGTTTGCTGTTGCTTCTAATCTAGTGGTTCTTAACTGGTGTGTCGCAGCCTAAACGTAGTTCGCAGTGTCAGTGTCACACATTAAGTTTTCCATTTGGGATGATATTTGCTCCACGTTAAGTTTGTTTAACCAGTATACAGTACATGGCATATACAGCACAAAAATATATTCTCTCTGTCATTTTTTTATGTCAGCTACTTTAATCAGTTTATTAAAATAACTTCCTGATCTAAAAAAAACCCTTCACAATCTATTACATATAGCACTGAATCGACATCAGCTCACATTGTATGGGATTATACGTATACAATTAAGCCTAGAATCGGATATTTATAAATACATCAAACGTTACAAAAACACAAGAAGATAAATATGGTTTGTTATGAATAAAACATGAGATTAGTTAATGATCATATATTTTTTTAAGAATTGTTGTTACTTTTATATAAAATATTTTGCTTCAATGTTGGCATGGCAAAATTCTAATTCTAAAGCAAAACCAGTGCTCAAAATAAAATAAAATAAAATAAAATAAAAAATAAATAAAATAAAATGTTTGCAGAACATGGACTACCTTTCAGGACCCGGAAGGCGTGTCAGGATCTTTGTTGAATGAATCTAAGCATCTTGGGAATCTAAAGTACAAGGTCTGGGAGAAGATGCAGGCAGTTGCACCTTACAGTAAGTATCTCTTTAATGTACAGATAGAACATTGATAAGAATAGCCTAAATTTTTACCTTAACATTTCAGAGGGTTAATGGAGGGTTAATTTATTTTTGCTGTATAGTTACTGTAATTAATGCTGATATACTGCATCCTGTATATTGGAATTTTGTCATGTTAACGTTTATTCAAATGATTTAATTCCAAACGAGTTAACTGTAAATGACATATAAAATGCCAATTGAAGTGCATTAGTAGTAGTATGTGATTGTGCAGTTTCACAATGGCAATTTTAACACAGCTAAATCCTGGTTTTGATAATGTCAACAACCCTAGATAGAAACTGGGGTTGTAAAAAATACTTTTTTCTCACACACAATGGTACAAAAGCTGTCACTGGAGCAGTAATGCTTTAAAAGGTACTGATATGTGCTATTTAGGCACTAAATACCTTTAAGGTACCAGTATGCACCGCTTAGGAGTAAATAAGGTACAATACCTTTTGAAAGGATACTGCCCCAGTGTCAGCTTTTGTACCTTTTTCTGAGAGTGCAGTACAAATGTAACCTTACACAAAAGCATGTATAAATACCCACAATTCATTTATTTTACAACTGAAATCGTCCAATAATATGGGACTTGTCATGTGATGTAAAAGTGATTAAAGCTATCAGTTATCAAGTACCAACATGTGCTATACCTCACAGCATTTTTTTGTGTATGTTTTCAATGTCTGTCTTTGTTCATCAGGTCCAGTAATTTTGGACCCAAACACAGCCCACCCTTGCTTGACGCTGTCAGACGACCTGACCAGTCTCCGCTATAGCACCCCAAACCAAGTTCTCCCCAGTAACCCTGAGCGTTTCCACATCAGTGCAGAGGTGCTGGGCTGCACTACCTTTAGCTCCGCAAGCCACGGCTGGGAGATCGAGGTTGGTGACAATGAGGACTGGATCCTGGGCTTGGCCAGTGAGTGTGTGAAGCGAGATCAGGAAGTACCTGCCAGACCAGAGAATGGCTTCTGGACCATCTGCCTACGGGATGGGCAATACAGGGCTATGGAATCACCCCCAACTGCTATAAAAGTGGAGGAGAAACTGCAGAGGGTCTTGGTCCAGCTGAACTGGGACAGAGGGGAGGTGATTTTTTCAAACCCATCACGTCAAGAAATTATATACACTTTCAAACATGTCTTTACGGATAAGTTATTGCCGTACTTCTACACGCAAAGTAAGCATCCTTTGCGTATCCTCTCCAAGCCTGCGTTGGTGTCAACGTGAAAGCATCCTCTAAAATAGGGAAAATACAAACTGTGGAAAATTAATCATATATAGCTACACATTTAACAGATGCTTAAAGTGATTTAAAGTTCATCATACAGTTCATTGTGCAAAGTAGCCCAAGGCAGTTATCTTAATGTGAGCAAGGCTATCCTTACTGCTAATAAACATTCAGACAAGTGCAGTTTCTGAATCTGTCTCAGTGGCTGTTTGTCATTACTGTACATACACACCGTATGAAACAATTTATAAATTCTGAAAGCCACAACAGCTTGACAACAAATTATTTTTTTTTTCTTGAGAATAAACACCCACGTTTTTAAAGCAAACGTATGTGGGTTTGTTTATTTATTTATTTTCTTATTTTTACCTTGAAATATCCATTTAAAAATCATTCTGATTCTTAGAAAACTGACAAATAAAACTATATGGCTTTCTCTTTTTTTCCCTCGCTGCCGCCGAACGTTTGTTCTGAGATCTCCGTGAAGTTGGCCCCCCACCCAACGCAAAACGTCGGCAAAATAGTTTCAATCATTTGTGCTGCTTCGGTTTTTAAGATATTAAAATAATATTTAATGGTAATTTTCTGAGGTCACTCAGCCCCCCACATGCTCCAAATGTACCCCAAATAGTCTCGTTTGTTTGTGCTTCGTTTGTGCTGGTTTGTGCAGGGTTTCGTTTGTGCTGCTTCGGTTTTAAAATATTAGATAAGAAATTATAGACGATGACGTCACTCAACCCCCCCACATGCTCCAAATTCACCCAAAATAATCTTCTTTGTTTGTGTTTCATTTGTGCCGTAAAAACATTCGTTTGTGCTGCTTCGGTTTTAAAATATTAGATAAGAAATTATAGACGATGACGTCACTCAACCCCCCCACATGCTCCAAATTCACCCAAAATAATCTTCTTTGTTTGTGTTTCATTTGTGCCGTGAAAACATTCGTTTGTGCTGCTTCGGTTTTTATTTATTATTTTTTTTTTTTAGATATTTTTAGTAATCAGGTCATGCTCCAAATTTACCCCAAATAATCTGGGCTGCGTTTCCCGATAACGTTCCCGATAACGATAAACGATAACTAAAGGTAGGCCTATACCTGTTCTATACCTTAGCTTAGGAAGCGGCTTAATACCTCCTAACGTTTTGAAATACCTCCTTACGTGCGACGTTACCAGGTGCTGTCCATGGCGGTGGTGCTGAATTGGTTGATATCAATGCCTCGAGGCTCGAGGATCGATTATTCATTCTATGCACGGACTGCTTCACTGCATTATGTGAGAAAGCTGTGTTCTTTATAAAAGAAGTGTTGATTTTAAATAAAGACACAGAACTTACTTTCGCTTTGCAACATATGTCAGGAAATAAAACCAAGAAAAACATATACCGAGAGCACCTCCTAGGGGCCACCACATAAAATACAAGGGGGAAAAACCCCTACACCATACACTGCTTAATAATTTAACAGCTTTTAACAGAAGAGAGAGAGAAAAAACACCTTGGGCCTACACAAGTCCAGCAGAAAACCATTCAGGTAAGAGTGCTCATTTACTCCACAACCAGGGCTGATTGCGCAGCAGCCGCAGCACATATTGGTGTAAATCACTGATTTGTGTTACTGGATGAGTTATTCAATAAAAGCGCAACATGGGAAACATATAATCAACAGCTACTATGGCGGAGAAAAAAGAGAGAAAGAGGAGAGCCGCCAACAGCTGAATTTCGGGGAAGAGAGGGTAGCTCCGTCGAGTTTGTCTCTTTTTCTATTATTTCTTTATCTTTATTTTTTCAAGAATTGCAGCTTAATTGAACACTGGGTGTATTACTTTAGAATTATATTCGTATAGACTGAGATGTAAAGAACTGTGAACTATCAACAGTGATAGTACAGGTACAGCTAAGCACAGAGACAGCGCTCATTAAGATAATAAATGATATTCGCTTAAATTCTGATTCTGGCAAAATATCAGTGCTTGTACTACTAGATCTCAGTGCTGTGTTTGACACTGTCGATCATAACATACTACTAGAGAGACTGGAAAACTGGGTCGGGCTTTCTGGGATGGTAATCAAAGGGTTCAGGTCATACTTAGAAGGGAGAGGTTATTATGTGAGTATAGAAGAGCATAAGTCTAAGTGGACGTCTATGACATGCGGAGTCCCACAAGGCTCAATTCTTGTACCGCTCTTGTTTAACCTGTATATGCTCCCACTAAGTCAAATAATGAGAAAGAACCAAATCGCCTATCACAGCTATGCTGATGATACCCAGATTTACCTAACCTTATCACCAAATGACTACAGCCCCATTGACTCCCTCTGCCAATGCATTGATGAAATTAACAGTTGGATGTGCCAGAACTTTCTTCAGTTAAACAAGGAGAAAACTAAAGTCATTGCATTTGGAAACAAAGATCAAGTTCTCAGGGTGAATGCATACCTTGACTCTAGGGGTCTAGCAACTAAAAATCAAGTCAGGAATCTTGGTGTGATTCTGGAGACAGACCTTAGTTTCAGTAGTCATGTCAAAGCTGTAACTAAGTCAGCATACTATCATCTCAAAAACATTGCAAGGATTAGAGGTTTTGTTTCCAGTCAAGACTTGGAGAAACTTGTTCATGCCTTTATCGCCAGCAGGGTGGACTATTGTAATGGTCTCCTCACTGGCCTTCCCAAGAAGACCATTAGACAGCTGCAGCTCATCCAGAACGCTGCTGCCAGAATTCTGACTAGAACCAGAAAATCTGAGCATATCACACCAGTCCTCAGGTCTTTACACTCGCTTCCAGTTGCATTTAGGATTGATTTTAAATTACTTTTACTCGTTTATAAAACACTCAATGGCCTCGGACCTAAATACATAGCAGATATGTTTACTGAATATAAACCTAACAGACCACTCAGATCATTAGGATCGAGTCAGTTAGAAATACCAAGGGTTCACACAAAACAAGGGGAGTCCGCTTTTAGTTATTATGACGCCCACAGTTGGAATCAGCTTCCAGAAGAGATCAGATGTGCTAAAACATCAGTCACATTTAAATGCAGACTCAAAACTCATCTGTTTAGCTGTGCATTTATTGAATGAGCACTGTGCAATTTTTTTTTGATTGCACTATATGTTATGTATAATCATTTTCTCTTCTTAGCCGTTTTAAATTCATTTTAAACCTCTTAAATCAATTTTTAAATCATTTTCAAAGTTGTTTAATTCCTTGTTTTATTGTTGTGATATTTTTTTTTATTATTATTTTCTTTTCTTTTATGTAAAGCACTGAATTACAATTGTGTATGAATAGCCTTGCCTTGCCTAAGACTGGTCCAGACCAACCTTACGAAAGTATGACTTACAGAAGGAATACTTAACTATGAACGTTTCTGGAGACACATATTAACGATAAGGTACAACTTAAGGCATAACTTAAGAGCGATGTAGCGTTAAGAAGGTACCGGAAACGCAGCCCTTCTTTGTTTGTGCCATAATTTTTTCGTTTGTGCCGCTTCGGTTTTTTAGATATTAAAATAATATTTAGTGATCATTCTGATGTCACCCCCCTCCCCCACCCCGCATGCTCCAAATTTACACCAAATAGTCTTGTTTGTTTGTGCTGGTAATATTTTCGTTTTTGCTACAGTCTTTTTAAAATATTTTTTCCTAGTCAACTAGTCGCATGTTTATATTAAATTGATTAATATAATAACCTATTAAACCATCCTTTAATTAATATATAGGCATTTAGGCGTAGCCTATTCCACGCTCAAGCCCGCAAAGCACTGGCAAAAGTATTTATTGAATGAGTAGGGGAAAAAGAAGACATTGTAATTATTTATTACTAAACTTGTGCTTTCTCAGTCAGTGTCGGCTGCAACGATGTCGTAGGCTAATGGACGTGCCTAATAGAGAAATGCACCTTTTCTCAGGGGCGCGTCTAGAGTGGTGGCACGGGGTATTTACGACGCCATTGGATTAGAGTGCTGTCAATTTCACAGCTCAAACAGGAGAAGCGCAGCTGCAGGCTGCGGACCACGGCTGCGTTTCTCGATAACGACTGATCTTAGCGCTTAAGAGCGTTTTCTACGAGTCAGTTTACGATCGTTCGTTATTGTTTCACGTGCGTTTCCCAAAAATGCACTTAACACAAACGCACGTAGCTGTGCTTTAAGCAGCTGTGCTACTCATGAGTCGCTATCCGTTTGACAAGTGCTGAAATGTCACCTTATAGCAGTGATTCTCAAACCTGTCCTGGAGTACCCCCAGCCCTGCACATTTTGCATGTCTCATCCATCACACCTGATTCAACTCCTCAGCTCATTAGTGGAGACTGCAAAACCTGAAGTGGGTGTCTCAGATGTAGGGAGACATACAACATGTGCAGTGCTGGCGGTACTTCATGGAGAGGTTTAAAAACCACTGCCTTATAGAAAGGCTCGTATTGTAGTACACGCTCGTTTATTGAAATGTTAACCTAATGCTGCGTTCCAGACAACTCGGATATAATAATAATAATACAATATTATATTATAGTATAGTATAATGTATAATATTATACTTTACATAATAATATATAATATACTTTATATAAATATATTATTATATATTATAATATACATAATAGTATATAATATCTAGCCTATATAGAGACGTTATTTCCGGGTCCAATACGTTGCTGGTTTTCAGAATGAATCATAAAAGAGAATGTTTTAAAAATCTTTAAAAGTTAGTTTTTTTTCTTACATTTTTAGCAACCACTCATGATTAGAGTAAATGATTCTGACCTGATTCTAATACATACATATATATATATAGAGAGAGAGAGAGAGAGAGAGAGAGAGAGAGAGAGAGACGTTATTTCCGGGTCCAATACATGGCTGGTTTCCGTACACGTCGGCAAGTCATTGACAGATTTTTTCCCCCCATGAAGCATATTTCCTACATTACTTCTTTTATTCATTTTTTTTTGTTCAGTCATTCAATTTAAATGTGTATTTCTATTTTTTCTGCCCTTTTAAATTATTTCATTTATAAATTTAATAAAAAAAAAAACGAGTAATAAAGTGTAGCCTACAATAAAGTACAATCAAATCGTTATGTTACGTTTTTTCCTGTCGTTTCAAAGATTAAAGGCACAATGACTTTCCCAAATAGTCTGCCGTACTGTGGCGGTAAACGCTAAAAGGTGGGGTTTTAATAATGTTAGCGTTCTGACACTTGGGATTTTAGGTAGAATAGTACACGTTTTTGCGTGGTAGTCTTATATTTTTGATACACATTTAACAGCTACACATTTAAATGATTTTGTCTTTAATCAGATGTGAATATGGCTATTAAATATACTATTTATATTGATGATTAAGTTAGAGGTTTGTTTATTTCTAGAGAGAATTTTGAGGGAAACAAATTAAAAAGGGGACAAAGTCAGGCACAGCAGCAATTCATTCAAGGTTTCTTCAAGAAGAAACCATGTCAAAGACAGCTAGGGTGAATTCGGGTAATCTGGGACACCTAAACTCCAGTGTGTTTATTTCTGCTCTAACAAAATTTAGTCAACAGGGGCAAGTTCAAGCTCAAACCGGTGTGCACCGTTTTGCTACGGTTTCCGGTTTGAACGACATGTTTCTTGTTTGGTGGGTGTGTCAAACATGTCAGCCCAATCAGCAGCAGCATATATATAAACCACGCCGTATTAAAGAGACAGCTCACACAATGTAACTAACATCCAAATAAATTCACAAGAGCAAGTATATTGTTTGCATGTTTATTTACATTAAAGACAAAATAACTGAAATAATAAGAGCACAAGTATAGATCTGGAACTTCTTTAAGTCTGTCTAAATATCATTTCGTAATTGCAATGTCTTCTGGCCCATATCCTTTCCGTAGGAAGGTGTGCTAGACACTGATTAATGTATCATAAAAATGGCAAGGGCAGTGACTGTAACATCAAGCGTATTTTACAGTATTAAACACGTATTTATACAGATTTCATCAGGCTCTGAACATTCTTCAAAAAGAACACAAAGAATGGCCTTCTCAGCTGCCATAGCTGCAACTCTTGAGTCATCAGAACAGAGTGTTCAACACACCACCGTTTCCGTTTAAAAAAACGTTTTGCAGTGCATGCCGGTTAGACATTTTGTCCGACTTGAACCGGCGCCGACGTACGTCACTGTCACGTGTGGCATCAAAGTGCAATGTGGGACAGCATGCTTTGGGTAATCTGGGACAGTCTTCAAATGGAGGAAATATGCATTTAGGGACTTTATAAGTCTAATGACAAGGGATAATATATGCTATAATGAGAAATGGGTGTTAATGTGGACTACTGGAGGTTATAACATTAGCATAAGTTCACAGTAGCAAGCAGCTAGCTAAACCAGCTAGCTAGAGAGATGCTACAGAGATGGAATCTGGGAAACGTATTCCAGTAGCAAGCAAAGGTATCAGGATGAAGTAAACTGTTTATTTAATTTCCAAATTCCCAGTTAGTTTAGTATACAATGGTTCAAATCACTGAGCAGGAGGGGGATTTGCGCCCAGGCAAGCTGACAATGTTCTGTACACAGACACACACGAACACACGCACACGCACTCACTCACACGCACACACACTCGCACTCACACCCTACACACACGCACACGCACACGCACTCGCACCCTACACACACGCACTCGCACTCACACCCTACACACACGCACACGCACACGCACTCGCACCCTACACACACGCACTCGCACTCACACCCTACACACACGCACACGCACACGCACTCGCACCCTACACACACGCACTCGCACTCACACCCTACACACACGCACACGCACACGCACTCGCACCCTACACACACGCACTCGCACTCACACCCTACACACACGCACACGCACTCACACCCTACACACTAGCACTCACACTCACTCACACCCTACACACACGCACTCACACACTACACACACACACTCGCACTCACGCTCACGCACACGCACACGCACTCACACCCTACACACACACACTCACACCATACACACTCGCACTCACACGCACTCGCACTCACACTCACACCCTACACACACGCACACGCACTCGCACTCACACCCTACCCCCCAC